ATATGTCTTATTCATTGCATGTTTTTCTAGGAAATTGTTTTGCTGTCTTGCTATGACTTGATTTTCCCTATAATTCAGAGAGGATAGATATATATGTAGAAATTCACACATGGGTTTTTTTTTTTTTAATTATTTACGGGAACAGATTGTATAATGCAAGATGTAATGAACAGATACTCTGAGGAAGAGACGCTGAGAAACCCGAGGCTTATTTTGTAGCATTATAATATAAATTCTAGCAATCTATTGTTCGATGATTAGAATGACATTGGACTGGTTTCTTGAGTTCAACTTCAGCATATGTAGAGATGGGGACGGCTATCACAAAGAGAATGAGAGATGCGATGGTAGTTACTATTGTCTCCCCTAATTTGGAATTTGAGGACCTAGAAAGACTTCATTATCCTGTGATGATTTGATTAGTTCTATAATATGCAATAAGTATATAAAGTGGGTGAAGAGAGGAACAACTATTTGTAAGAAACTAGAGACAGTTAGATAATGAAGATCTCCAGTGGACTTGCTTTGAAATCTGTATTTCTTTAAATTGTTTTTTTTTTTCAATGTTCTGTTCTGTTTTGATATGTTTAATCTTACCCTCTTTGAGATGTAAAACAAATGTGTAGGACTGATAAAAAAAAAAAAAAGACTTCCCACTGTGTACTCAAAGCCAGCATTTTTTAGCCACTCTCCCTTGCTTTTTGTGGATAAATGTTTTTCATCTTCTGTTTTATACATGTGAATGCTGAGAACTAGAATGGCAGAAAGAGGATGAGGGACCACATTGGGAGTCACTCTGCTGTTTAGAAATTGAGAACTCGTACTTGGACCAGTCAGGTTCCCAGTGATGGTGACATACTCCATCTCAGTGAAATCATGTCCTGTTAAGTTTCCTCTAAGTTTTTATTTCCTTTGGGAGCTCACATCAGGTTGCTTTGATGGTGTGGTTGTGTTGCTTTGCTTTTGTCTTTTTGAAATAGTGGGAATGGATCCTAGGATCCCACACATTATAGGCAAATACCCTACCACTGTGCTACAAACCCAGCCCTTTTTATTTTGAGACAAGATCTCACCAAACTTCCCAGCCTGAGCACAAACTTGTAATCTCCCTGCCTCGGCCTCCCAAGTAGCTAGGGTTACAGACGTGCACCACTGTACCCAGGTCAGGCTGTCCTTGGCCGAAAGCTACTAAGTACTGAGGTGAACGCTATGTACAAAGCTAGGTCTCAAGTAAAGAAAGCAACTCTGATCATCACTTACAGTCCGGAAAGAAAGCAGAGCCATTGTGGAGGGCTAGAAAATTTGGTTTTCTACTTTGTGCCTGTAGTCGCGTTGGTGCTCATTTGTGAAAATTACTCAGTGTAAGTTAACCACCCATTAATGAGTGAGAGCTGTTCCCACTAATTGGTGGGCTCTGGGGAAAGCAGCATAGTTAGAGGCTGGAGTCATGGACCAGGTGCCCTCGGCTTCTATTTCTGGTTCCCTCACTGACTTGCTGTGTGGCCCTAGGCGGTTTCCCCCTCATTTCACTGGACCTCGTTTTCCCCAGGAAAGTTTCCCACTCTTTCTGTGTGGGGGATGTGAGATGATCAAAGAAACAGTGTTTGCAGAGCTTCTTAAAGATGTCTAGCTGCTGATTTAATAGGCATTAATTAATAAATCCTTTGATTATTGATTGAACTACACAGTTGAGCTTTTAATTAGCTTTTGGATCTGATTGGCCCGTAGGAGTCATAGAGCCCTTGGGAAACTGGCCAAGTCATGTGACAATCACCGGGAGTGTCTGATGTGTCTTTATGTGGCGTCACACAGCACAAAGATGTTTCTCGTTAGTGGCAGGTGCTGACCACTGCGCTGACAGCCCAGTCTGAGAGGGAGAACCCAGGGCTGCACAGGCAGCCCAGGGCTGCTGGGAACCAGCAGCCAGCACCCACCTTTCCCAGTGAGGAGAGAGGAAGGCAGGAGCAAGTGCTGCTGTTCATTGTTTTGCGTGTTGTTTTTGTTCTGGCAGCCTCAGGGCAGTGTAATCAGGGGCCCCAAGCTGTAGGGTACAGGGGTGCAGGAGCAGAAATGTCCCAAATCCTACAAAGACAGTGCAGTGTCATTACAGCCACCAACATGGTGGCCAATGCAGCCGCTCCTGCCCTCTGACCCTGCTGCCTCCATGGTCCTGCTCCCAGCTAACAGCCCCGCCCCACCCTGCACACAGCATTCCCGCGTGTGCAGGGCTCCTGTTCCTGTGCAGCAAGCCAGTGCTGGAAAGCTACTCATTTACCTTGCCCTCACATTCTTTTCCCAGTGTTTAAGGCAAAAAATAAAAACCAACCAAGTCGGTGCTTACAGCAGACTTCAAGGGGAATCCATTGTTCTGCACCCTGCTATAAAATGCCCACACATGGAACAGCGTCTGAGGCCATGCTTGGGAGCCAGGGCTCCAGGGTTCACCGCCGAGGACAGAAGCCAGCGGCAGAAGCCTTCCCATGGGCAGCCGCAGTGGCCGCAGAGAAGCCCACGGCAGCCAGATGGTTTTGTTTGGGCCCTTTGGCAGGCACGCGGATCTCCACACCAAGCAGCATCAGGGACCACTTAGAGCAGAGGCTTGGTTTGTGTTTTATTTCACAAGGAGGGTGGGGAGCAGGAGCCAACCCTCTGAGCCTTGTGCTAAGTGGTTCTTTATCAGGCAGAGAGAAGGCTTCAGATCGAAAGCACAAAAGCGTGTGAGGGGTTTTTCTCACATGCTCAGCCTTGTGTGGCTCCCTTTCCTCTTTTTGGTGGGGTTGGAGAGACCGACCTTCCTGGGTCTGTCTATCAGACACACCCATGGTGCTCAGCTCAGTCAGCACCCGGCCAGCACTGTGTCATCAGCAGGGCCGGTGCACAGTGGCAGCCTAGGGCCCTCAATGACAACGTATCCAGATTTCAGATAGCAGCAGCAGAGCTTTGGGCTACACACCCAGAGAGCCAGTCCCATCCAGGGCCCCACCTTACCGAGTCAAGGAGGGGAAGAGAGAGAGCAAGGATGGTGAATCTTTTAGAATTACTCTAATGTTTCCAGCTGATAATTTTACTCTTCTAAACCCCAAGTTAAGAAATTTAAAAATTATTTCAGATGCTCTGCAGTAACTCTTTTATTGGCCAAGCTTTGGAAGAAGTAAGAACAATGTAGAATCCTAGGAAGACCTGAGTTTGCTGAGTGCTTACTTTGAGCTACTACCAAGCTCCCCCTTGGAGGGGCATTCTTGCCCTTTTATAGATGGGTGGAATTAAAACCAAAGGGAATGGCGCACCTTGCCAAAGGTCTAGCAGTTTGGATGTTTGGGAGTCTGGATTCAAACAGATGCAGGCAGGTTCCCAAAACCTTGGTGCCTGGCCACGCCACTGTATGTACCACCTGCCGGCTATGAGGTATTTTTATGGCTGTGGTGAAATCCATAAATACCTGACCCCCGGGGAGCAGACAAGAGCTCTGGATGTTTTCACAGAGATGCTCTAAGTAGCAGAGCGGCCTCTACCTTGGAAGCTTGAGCTGCACATTTGTGCATTTAAGTGGCAAAGGCCCTGCGGAGGAGGAGGCAGCCTGAGCCAGTGCGGGGCTTTAGATCAAGGATTTGCTGTCCTTGAACTTGAAAAGAAGTACAGTTTCCTCAAGCACCGGAGTAAGATGTACTCTGAGCTGTGGACAAAAGAAGCAGCTGTGTAACAAGAGACAGTAGGCGCCCCCTTCCTGTTTCTTGTGCAGACAAAATGAGTTTGCAATTCCAGCGAGGAGAGAGGGAAGATAAGCAAATGCAACCCTTCTAGAGAGCTGTTGTATTCCAGCCCAGTTTAACTTGGGCAAGGAATCCATTGGCCAAGCATTGACAATCAGCACCCTGGGCCTGGGGCAAGGGGTTGACAGGACACAGGGAACTGACCCTCACATCTTCAAGGTGGAGGGAACACTGGCAGGTCAGGCAGGGTCAGGAGAATAATGAGACTCTGAAAAGCATGTTCTATACCTCAATGGGACAGAGAAGAGGGGGGGTCCCTGGGAGAAATCGATATTCCCAGGGGGAAGACAAGACTAGGATTCCTGTTCTGCCTTATTTCAGCAAAATGAACCCACATTCAGAGTGCATGGAATGGGGTACACATCCATCAGTATAAACACAATCATATGTGCACATAACTCTATCCTCCTGTGACCCTTCCAAAGGGCTAAGTAACTTTCGTTTTCACGCAGCAAGATGAGCCCCATCCCTACAGCGATGGGATACAGCCCTGACTGTTCCCAGCCTTGCAGTCAGGTTCTCAGGTTAGGGGCTCCCTGGTGCTTCTGTTGTTGGGAGGATCCTGGCCACAGCTCCGTGGAAAGCTTCCCTTTGTGCTGCAGGGAGAATGGGCCTGACAGGCTCCCATTGTGATCCTGAGCTGCCTGCCCCGGACTGAGGTCCCGGCAGCCTCCGCCCTCCGAGCTGCAGAGGGCCTGCACATTAGCAGGCAGGAAGTGGAGTCCCGCTGGGAGGCTGGGAATTTGACCGCCTTCCCACTTTAGCACTGGAGGGGAGGAAGCACAGGCACGGTGGCCACACCGCTCCCTTCTGAGCTCCCTACTTGGGCTGCTCCCCCTCCCTCTCGCTCCCTCGCAGCCCGCTCCCTCCCTTCCCCCTCCTTGGAGGGAAAAGTCTGCAGAGCTGGGAACTGTCTTGGAGAAGCCAACAAAGGCAAACCAAAGGGGAGCAACTCGGGAAGAACTTGTTCTGCTCTATTAAGAAACCTGCGGGAGAATCCACGCCCACGGTGCCTGGTTTTGAGCGGAAGGTTGCTCTGGTGTGTGTATGTGTGTGTGTGTGTGTGTGTGTGTGTGTGTGTTTCAATGCAAGGCAAGGAGGAGGTACAAACAACTGCACAGTCTGCTCTGATAAGGAAACTGCCAGCTGGCGAAAGTTAACCAGGAACGAAGGGACAGCGGCCAGCAAAGCCACCACACCTCAGCCTAAACTGCACTGTTTTCTGTCCAGATATTCCAATGGAGACAGTTGGAAAACCTGTATTTCAGAGAGAAGAAGTTTTCCGTGGAAGTTCATGACCCACGCAGGTGAGTGAGAGTGCCTGGCACATTATTGATAATCTGGAGTTTGCACTGTCAGTGTTCATGTTCGGTTTGGGGTAAGAGGAGAGGACGGGGAATCGTGGGAAACAGTTCAAACCAGACAGTAAAGCTTTGTTTTGTATGTGTGTGTTGGTAGACACAGTGAGTCCAGCCGTGTGTGTGTGTGTGTGTGTGTGTGTGTGTGTGTGTGTGTGTGTCCCTGGAGCACTGGAGGAAAACTGTGGCACTTTGTAACAAATGGCAGGTTAAATTGGGCAGGAGCCGAAGTCTCTGTAGGAAGCTTTTCCCGAGACAAGGATGAAAGCTTTCTGGTCAGAGCTCCTGAAAGACTCAGATAGGACAGTCACACCAGAAAGACTCTGTTAGCAAAGCAGTTGTGTCCAGTTGCACTCGGGGAGCTGAATATGAGAGAAATACTATCAGTTTCTCTCCCCCACGTTGTCCCCCAGACAACACAGGGTAAAACTCCATGCTCTCAGTCAGATGCCAGGCCACAGAGTCACCACCAGCACCCAGGGGTCCACAGCCCCTGTCCGCTGCTTCTCCTCTTTGCTGAAGTCCTTGCCCTAAAGTTGTAGCAACCTGGAAACATAGCACATTTCCCTGACCCAGGCCTGACACCGAACAGGGAATCGCTTGCCTTAGGCCTGAGAACAGGCTGACAGCACCCCAGCAGCCCTGGGAAGACAGTGAAAGACCAGAAGCTGTCAGGAGCGCTGGTGGGCTTAGATGCCACTAGTGCCCACCCTGGGTTTGGAAGAAAGTTGGCCCCAAGCAACTTCTGAGCAGAGGTGACTGGTGCCTCCCAGGAGCTCTGACACAGTGAGAAGCCTCCCTCCTGCAGACCCAGATAAGCCTGGGCAGAGATGCTCTGCCCCGTGCCGTCATCTGCATGGGAACGGCCTCTGTGGGGTCTGAGAACCCATCCCTGATGCTCTGGAGCTTTGCATCCATGCAAACAGATGCAGAGGTTGGAGGTGAGCAGGAGGATCCTTGTCTCAAGGCACTCAGGGTTTGAGCCCAGAGGGTCACAGAGAGCCTCTACAGAGTGCTCAGGGATGCATCTGCACAGGAATGCCAGTAGCAACACACCAGCGGAGGAGCTGTCAGACTGGATGGCTAGGCAGACAAGAGGAGACGCTTCCACAGAGAAAGAGTGAAATGCATTCCAGCCCAGTGGGTCAGATGCAGAAGGGGACACTTGATAGAGTAAATAAAACTTGGATTATCAAGGGAGCTGAGCACAGGAAACAGACAAACTCTCCATGCCTGTGGTCAGTCAGTCCGAAGCTCCACTGCTCAGGCACCTTGGACAAATCCTTCAGACGTGCATGTGTGTGGGCTGTATGTTCTCTCTGCACCCATCTCCCTAATCAGTGATGTAATGCTAAATTCCCTTCATGTTCCCAAGGCCTGGGGAAGGGTCCAAAGTTCCCCTATGGCCCCCTTAAGTGGGCTTTTAGCTTATTGGACAAAAGGATTTACATATATGCTGAGAAACTTCTGTGTCCACACTGTGGTAGACGTGATAGGGCACAGAAGGAAGATGGAGGCGGGGTCCTCATCCTTAAAACACTTCTCAAAGAGTTGGGGAGAGCAGCAGGAGGAGGAACTGACCCCTAGGAAGTCTCATCAGTGTCCCGAAGTCCTTCTCTCACTGGATCCTCACTGTGACCCAGAAGATAAGTCACTCTTGTTCTACATGTGGGAACCTGAGGCCCAGAAATGATGGAACCTACTCCAGATGACCAAGCTAGTATGTGGGACAGATAAGGTTGGAACCCAGGAGCCCAGGGCCAGAGTTCATGCACTGTCCTACTGCCCCATACCTGGGGAGAGTGTCCCAGGTGTACGAGGTGTCTTCTCAGCAGCTGCATGGTGCACCAGGTGTCCAAGGGTACAGACTGACATGGACACCAAAGCCTGCCTGGTTGGGAGAGGCCTCATGGGCAGGGGCTATCTGAGCTGGGACTTAAAGGTGCCTTGGGCACTTCGGGAGCGAAACATGTCAGGTGGGTGCACTTTACCTGAGGCAGCCACATGGACAAAGCCATGGCCTGCCAGGAAGGGGCACAAAGGACACGTGTTGACCTGGGGACAGGCAGGGAGGTCAGAGGTGGAGGCTCACATGACACCTTCCTGCCACACAGGGGAAGGGTCCTGCTTCAGGTCAGCTGGTCTGGGGTGGAGCCAACTACTGCCAGGCCTCCTGGCTCAGGAAGTCGCCTTCTCGTGGCCACTGGCACACTTGAAAGTGCCATCCCACTACTGGTTGCCTGCTTGTTTGGAACATGCACCATTTGTCTTAGCACTGTACCTTACATGTGTCCACTCTCAGCTGCTCCCTGTGCCAGGAAAGGGGTTGTTACCACCTTATAGTCAGGGCGGGGTGGGCCAGCTGCTCTCAGACACTGACCACTGTGGTTACTGACCACAGTGACAGTGACCTTAGAGGAGGCTCTGGTGGCACTCAGCATCAACAGTGCTTTCCAAGCGGACTGAGACAGGTGTCATCCCAACCTTCCCCTCTCGTCCTTCCCCCAGAGGACATGGGATGTGCTGGGACTTTGCCCTCTGTACAGCCTAACTGTGAACCTACCTCCATTTTTATATTCCGTGGGTTTTGCCCATACAATTTCATATCTCAGGCTCAGGCAACATAGAAAAATCAGTGGGGTGGGAAGGCCCTGAAGGGGAGATGAGGAGAGGAGATACAGTAATGATGGGTCTGGAGGAGAGCGGGAGAGGATGCGGTCAGGCGCTCCCATGAATAGCCCTGTCTCTGGGGGATGAGTCACCTGACTTCTCACTCACTTTACCTGAAAAGCAGAAGCTGTAGCCTCTATAACCAGTGCTGCCCGTGCAAAAAGATATTCAAGTCGCCTTTCTTCTCTGCCTCAGCTTTTCTGGGGGAAACAGCCACACACACACACACACACATACACACGCACGCACACACACACACACACGCTCTTCTCCTAGGAGGAGCCAGACTGAGCATGCAGACCTTGGTTTCCTCTCAAAACCAGAGACCTTCTGGGACCCCTCCTCACTCTCTGTCTGCCTCTTTTCAGTTATCTTCAACTCTTTCGTGCTCTGGCATTTTTCCCTTCAGTTTGAACCAAAGGGAGAAAAAGCCTGCCTAGGATCAGGTTTCTAATCACCGAATTTGAATTCTCCTTAAAGATGATAGGCATGGCTTTGAATGTTCTTTGAGGAAAAATCCTCTGTGAAAAAAAAAGGTTCCATTCACAAGTCCTGCACACCCATTTCTTGCCGATTAGACATCTTAATCTTGAGAGTGCACATTTTCCTTCTGGCACGGGTCAGGTGCCCCATCCCCACCCCACGCCTCCCCCGCGGCCCCGACACACATGCCCTCAGAACTTATTTGGTCTCATAATAATCTGCCTGTCCTGTAAAATACTTCAGGAAGGACACAGCCACGTCACCCCATTAATGTGTGGGTTCTGTTGAGATCGAGGCTCCTGTTTGCCTTTTTCGGCTCTGCTTCACTCTCCTCTGTCCATGATTCTCCTTGTGGCCTTGCAAGTGTCAGGCAGACCGGTTGGTTCCCTTCTCTCTGCCCGCTCTCCTGATCCATCGCAGCCTCCTGTTGTCCAAATGTATCTGAAATTAATAAGTGGACCTCTCGAGGATTGTAGAGTTACAGTGATGAGGCCAGTGGTGACCAGGACAGAATGTGCTCCTCTTCGCCACAGATGGCACTGCCTGCTTCATGAGAAGCACTGTGAAAGGCTGTTCTGCTCTGAGAGTCGTCCTGGCTCAGTTCCAGGAGGTGGGGGTGGAAAGGACCACCCAGTAACCTGCAGTGACCAACATGCACGGCAGAGGCTGAGCCAGATTCCAGCCCCTGGGCGGCTGGTGTCTCTGTGTGCACGCGTGGGTCCCTGTGTGTGCGTTTAGGTTTTCGTGTGAGCTTATCTGTCACTTTCTCGCCAGGGAGTGAATCCAGTGGGTTCTCACTACAAGCTGTTGACTGATAAATAATTTCTCCCGTCATAAAAGAGATTGAAACTTGCAGTTCTTGCTTTCCCAGGGCCTCGGTGACCAGGAGGACATTTGGGCACAGTGGCATCGCAGTGCACACGTGGTACGCGTGTCCAGCGTTAATCAAGTCCATCTGGGCTATGGCTATTAGCCAACACCAGTTCTATCTGGACAGAAAGCAGAGCAAGGTAAGCAGGCAAACCTTTCCTCCAGGCTGGGAGCTGGCCTCGGGGTAGGAGTTTAGGGATGGGAACTGGATGCTGGGGAGGCGCCGCGTCCTTGGCCCGAGACTCACACAGGTGCAGACTAGCCTCTTGGGGCTACGAGTGGGAGGAGCAGGCCAGGCCTGTATGGGAACAGATCCTACACCTCTTCAGGGGCTCCAGCTGCCACTGCAGCCAGGCAAAGCCCTCCAGCAGATGCTGAAGGTGTTCAGGGACCTCAGGAAACTGCTAGGAGCAAGGAGCCACCCTCTGGGGTGTTTAAATACTGGTATCTTGTTTTGTTTTCTGAAAAAAAAAATAGTATCTCTTCTCCACTAGTAGACACCACCTAACTGTTTAGGGTAATTGCTGTGGAAACCCTCCAGGCTTTTCTAACTGCCAAATTCATTTTTTTAAAATGCCAAACTGGAAAAATGAAAACTAAAAACAGAGCAACCGCTCTGTTTCCCTGAGGTAGACCTGGAGCCTGGGGCACTATAAACAATCCTCCTCGTCCAGGGAGGTTTCGGGGCCCCAGCCTGGACTCTGCACTCTCAGGTGGGTGGGAGAATGACGCAGTGTTGGTTCACACGCTTCTGTCAGTACCCAGCCCCTCTCCTCCCTCCCTTCTGTGTCCCCCTGCCACTCCCATTCGTTCTGCTCAGGTGCAGGCTCTGCCAAGGTGGCCCCAGCACCCTTCTGACCTGGGTGGCTGCAGTGCAGAGCAGTGGGTCCCAGCGCCATGAGGGGTCCTCTCCTGCTGGCTGTGCGAGTTCTAGGAGGAGGAGGAGGAAGGACCTGACCCTCCCTGGGCCCTCAGGAGCTCTTTCTCTTTTGCCCATTTCCCTTTCGTGTGTGGTTTCTCATTCCGTGGAGGAGAGAGTTGGGGTCAAAGGAGAGATAAGAGAAAGACAGTGAGAGAAGACAGGAAGATGGAAAGCCACTGCTTTGGTCCAGTTTCAGCTTTCCACCAGGGCCTGTGCCCTGTGGCCCGACTGTCTCCTCTGGCCAGCATTGGCTTCCTCTCCTCCATCTTCTCCTGACCCTTCGTGACTGAGTGCACAGAGGTAGTATTTTCATGGTTGGGACTCATGAGAGTTATTCCTCGTCTGTCCTGGGGATGATAGGCCTTGGCACTGGAATCTGCAGCTCAATTACACAGAAAGGGACTGGGCCAAAGGGCTTTGCCTCCGGCTGCAGGCGAGGCAGGGCCAGTGCCCGTGCTCTGCTCCTCGGCGGAGGTTGGCAGCCTCGGACACTGATTTCATCCTCTCTACTGGGTGGTGAGGGGTGGTAAGGGTAGAAGGCTGGGCGGTTCCCCTGCACCCGCTGCCAGCTCCTCCTCAGGGCAGACCCCCCCATACACCAATACCACAATCTGGAGAGGGAACCAGAACTAGCACATTGCCCAGAACAGTAATGTCCACAGTCTTCTGAGACCCATGCTAGTTTCCTGCGTTGAGTTTCCCAATTATTCTAGTGGCCTTTCTCAGGTTTTCAGCTGCACTCTCAGAGAGCCCTACTGTGCATGCAGAAAGCCTTGCTCAGCAGGTTCCTATCCCAGCCACCTGTGCCGCAAGTGAACCTCAGGTCACTTAGTAAGAAATGTCTTTTAAGAGCCAATCCAAATGCCACAGCTCCAGGAAGACCTCTGCTGTCCATCTCAGTAACTCTGAGGACAAAAGGAAATGCCCATACTGCTGAGAGGAGAATTTTCTCCCAAGAAGCTTTGTAGGCTCACAGACATTGTTGCACTTCTGCTGGGAATCAATTCTTTGTCTCCCAGAGATGGGTGATGGCCAAGTTCCCCACTAGGAAGTCCGGGGACTGTGTTTCCCAACACTGTGACCTTGGGCAGCCTTCTGTCTTACACGCTTTGCTTTCCTAATTAGAAAAGAGAAGAAGGAATTCCTGCCTAAATCAGGAATTGGTCAGAAACCCAGTGTTTGTGAAGTTGCTTTAGGAAACATGTGTGTCTTTTACTAACATCACCATGAATCTAACATACTGCACCCTGGCCAATGTGGCATCAAGTTGAAATTCTCTAAAAAGTATCTGACTTACATCAGAGATGATGAAATGCTTAGTAGAAAATGACACGATGACACCATTTGTTTCTGGAAGGCCGTTCTGTGTAGAGCAGCGGTGTGACCCACGGGTAGACAGAACAGTGTCTGGGCAAGGCAGGGCCAGCAGGCAGGGAGAAATGCTGCACATACTTCTGGACAGCTCGTGTGGGCTGGCACCCTGGCATGGTTTCACACTCCGCTGTGTGTGGCTGTGCCAACCATTCCTTTCTCTGAAGTGCTTCAGCCCAACCCAGGCCTCCTGAGCGATGTTTATCAACCCCGGAAAGACAAGTGCGGTCTAAGTGAGTCCTGCAGGAGTGTGGCCAAGTGGTCTCCCGTGCTTCCCCCTACCAGTTCTGCACACACGTGTGTGAAGGGACCCTTGCACCAACAACAGCAGAGGCGGGGGGCTGTGCTGGTTGAGTCCGGGGTTCCTTCAGTAAAAGAAGCTAAGTGGCGGAGCTGGGGATTTAGCTCAGTGGCATAAGCACCTGCCTTGCAAGCAGGCAGTCGTGAGTTCGATCTCTGGTACCGATAAAAAGTTAATTAAAAAAAAAAAAAAAAAAAAGAAGCTAAGTGGGCAGCTACTAGTTAAAACTGTAGCTTAGATATGCTGACCCCAAAGGTCAGAGCACTATCAGCAGGACCCTAGAAACCGCTGTAGCCAGAGCCAAGCAATGCCTTGTGGACTCAGGAGGGGAATATTTGAATGTTTACACTCTTTAAGAAACATCAGACTTTTCCTCTGAACTCAGATTGGGGCTTCTGGAATTGGCCCCTGATAAAATATCTTTCCTCCCTGTTGGTCTTTCCCTTTCTCCCCTTTTTCCTGATCTAGTTAGCTATTCTTTATTTCATTTAGAATCAAAAAGACTCAGCATAGTAAGGAAAATTAAAACCTTGCCCATAGCATACCAGTAATGAACCTGGGTAATGCCTAGAGGGCCAAACCCCAGAGCGAGCAGGCCTTCCGAAGCTCGAGAACTCTTCAGGGCTGGTCCAGGGGCTGGACTGTGAGGGGAGGGTCCCCCACAGTGTTCACCTGCCCCCCAGCATTCATCTCCCTGTAGGTCTGTCTCCACGCCCACCGAGTCTGTGGGGTCGCTGGGATAGTTCCACAGAGACTGGAAAATCCTAAGGCTTCTAAGAAGCTAACCCCCCTGGGAGAGGGCACCTGCTGTTGCTTGGTCCAGGTTTTTGATTTCCGCCTGTGAGAATGATGTGTGGCAGGAATGGCCGGGTTTGATAGGGGACAGCTTTTCCATGTAATTAGTGAGAGCCTGAAAACCCCGGTCAAGCCATCAACACCACCTATTTTGGCAGATTCTTTCAGGTTCTAAGTTATAGCCTCCTCCTATTGCAATCACCTCAATCTGCACTATCTGATTTGGTCCTAACCCTGCTTCTGCCGTGTGGCTCTGAGGGTCACAGAGGCCCCCAGTGATGAGTTAAAAGAGGCAGGGTTAGGTTTTCACACCTTCAGAGCATGGCCCTCAGGGCTGTCTGGTGCTGGCCTCAGCCTTCAGGAGCCATCGCTCCACAGCTGTGTAAGTACGAGCTCCTTTTGTGAAGCAGAGGTCTTGGTAAAAGAAAAGATTAGGGCAGAAGGGAAGGAAGTAATGGATTGTGCTCACTGTGCTCGCTTGGTAGATAAACCAGCCAGATGGGTGCTGTTGATACGCCGGTCAGAAAGAAACAGAGGCTTTTCCTGCCTCTGTGGCAAGCCAGAGCTCTGCAGGGCTGGCAGCTGGGACTGCTTTGTGAGCTGGGTGCCCTGATGTGAGGAGTCAACTGAGTTTTGAGGTTAGAAAGGATAAACAAGTCAGAGAGGAACAATAGGAGGGAGAGAAGGAAGACAGTTTGCACCAAGTAAGCAGAACAAGCAGAGTCTCAGCACTTCCTTTGGCCCAAAGATTTCGTCTTGCTAACAGGAAAGCACACGGAGACCGGAAGTTGTTATCATTCACCAGTGTGGTCAACAGCATCAAGGCTAGAGGAAGGGCAAGGCCTCAGGGGCCCAGACAGCCACTGCCGGACAATTGAGGGTCCAGGCTGGCACCAGGCAAGGAGACGGCAGGTCAGGGTGAGGAGGCCATGGTACACAACCCCTCCATGCGAACCTGCCCGGTACCCGTGCTCCAGGCACACACAGTCCAGGTGTGAGCAGCTGTAAACCAGGACTGTGACCTTCACAGGGTCCTTTCTGATGGGCTCCAGCCCCTGGCCAGAGGCAGGATGTGGAGGAACAGTGTGTGGGTTACACCATCATTGACAGTTGTTCTCATGATGCTCACGGTGGAGCAAACCCTGATTTTGTGAAGAAAAAGATAAAAACAAAATGCCAAAAGCACATTTCCCACGTTGAAAATTGGTAACTAAGGCAGATAGTGTTAGCACAGGCAGTCACTTCTGGAAACGTAGTTGTGAGTACAGAGCCCTTTCCTAACTGTTCTCACCACTGTGACTGTCAGCCCAGTGGCAAAAATTAATATGCAAAGTGAAGCGGAGTTGGAACCACAACATGACAACTCTGGAACATGTATGTAGACATCCAAATGGAAATACGACACCTGTGAAGTGCTTTAAGGGGGTTCCTAAGAGTATTAGTCACTTCCACTAGGACTCCATACCTGACACCCACATATTAAAGGAGGGATTTATTTTGGCTCATGTTTTTATTTTGGCTCATGTAGTTGGCTGGTCCCAAGGCAGAAAGGAGTGATGGGAGAACTTGGTGAAGGACGGCCACTCCTGCCATGCGTTCAGGAAGCAGAGTCAAGTGAGGATGGGACAGAAGATGCAATTTTCCAGGCCACCTTACAGAGACCTACCTGTCCCACCAGGCCCACTCCTAGTGTCACGAGCAGCTGAGTTAGTTAGAAATATGGCAGGCAGTGAGACAGGGCTGGGTCCTCAAAGGAACCAGAGCCCAAGCCCAGACACCTGCAACTGTGGGAGAGACAGGCACCTCCTGCTGCTGTGGGCCAGGCCTCAAGACAAAGGATCAAACAAATGCACCCATATCCTAAGGACTGATATTCTGTGTGTGTGTGTGTGTGTGTGTGTGTGTGTGTGTGTGTGTGTGTCTTTTTGAGACAGGGTCTCACTCTTCGGTTGAGGCTGGCCTCAGGCTCACTTTGTAGCCCAGGCTGGTCTCGAACTTGCCATAATTCACCTGCCTCAGCCTCCCAAGTGCTGGGGTTACAGGAGGGCACCACCGTATCTGGCTAGGACTGGTATTCTAGTTCCCTATCACCCTGAGGAAGCCAGGAGTCACCATTCCAACCCCCCAAGGGGAAGAGTCAGTGCTAAGAATGCCCGCTTTCTTCGTGACTTACTTCCCCCATTTGTCCCCAATTTAATCAATTTTGCCTGACTTATTAATCTTACTGGTTAACCTTAGTTCTGTCCCACCTTATGCCCATCTGCCTTGTGAGTTCCCAGTTTTCCCCACCTTGAACCCGTCTCGCCCCCTGATTTTACTCTATAAAAGTCCCTGGAAAAGACACAGTCCTGGGCAACCCAATCGGGACCCCTTCTGTCTCTCTTGGACAGAAGCTTTCTTTCTCTCAATACATACATTCTTCTCTTAACCTCTGTTGTTCCTAAAATTCATTCTTCGATTTTAGAGACCACGAGCTCACGGACATAGTGGGTCAGGAGTGTCATTCCCCCGTATCATTAGCAGCAAGCTGGCTATAGCTCCTCCACCTTCCAGAGGCCCCACCTATGGTCACAGGAGGCTGCAGGGGACATCTGCATCTGAGCCACACCCAAGTGAGCTGCTGTCATGTTCGCCATGGCTGCAGGTCCAGACTTCATCTCTAAATGACTCTTCATCTCTAAATGTCCTGTGTCACATGACTAGCATCTGATGAGGCTCCAGTCATTACCAAATGTATTGGAATTCATGGGGTTTTTTTACATATGTCAGAAAGTTAGAAATTATTGTTTCCTTTATTTTAGCACACCTCTCCTGATTGCCATGTGTGAGGAAGACAAGGAAGGAGAGAGGAGGAGAGGGGAGAGAGTTAGTGCCCTACACGCTCCTTGCCTCCTTACCCTCACCCACTCCTGGATGGCGGGACATCTTCCCTGGTTTACACTGAGGGAGAGGAGGCTCAGTGTGACTGAGTAACTCCCCCCCAAATCCAGAGCCTGGATCCCCTGCTAGAGCAGTGCACAGTGCAGCCTACCGAACCCTCGGCTGCATCCTTAGAGTTGTGATGACCAGCAGATGGATTGCGGACACAGCTGCAGGCTGGAGGATGCTTGGGACTTTGATCAAGCAGGGGTTTCTGTTCCCGCTACGAGATGAGTGTGCCCTCCATAACCTGCCGGTCTTTTCCTTCCAGTCCAAGATCCATGCAGCCCGGAGTCTGAGTGAGATTGCCATCGACCTGACCGAAACAGGGACACTGAAGACCTCCAAGCTGGCCAACATGGGGAGCAAGGGCAAGATCATCAGTGGCAGCAGTGGCAGCCTGCTGTCCTCAGGTAAGCCTGGGTGTGAGCACAGAGGGCCACTGACCCAGACACCCGAGGGCAGATGCCAGGAGGGCACTTCTCAGGGCTCAAAAGGTGTAGACTACTGTCTCTCATGTAGGAAAAGCCAAGTGTGCTGTCACGGGGTGACAGAATACAAGTGCCCGTTGTCACTGAGAGTGAGGAGATGTGGTCTGTGTGATTTCTGTGCGGATGGGCAGGTCATTCAGCATTGGGAGGGACAGGAAAGCTCTAAGAGTTCCTTTCTGGATGGCTTTAAGGGCAGCAATGCCCGTCGCTGAACGATGGCAGAGGAGGAAGGAGGGAGGGAGGCAGGGCTGGAAATGGAGAGAAGTCACTCCCCAGGCCTGACCCATGGGGGCGGCATGCACATGCTTTGCCTCTGATCCTGGAAAACAGGGAGATATCTTCACCCCGCCTATCCTTCTGGGTCATTTCTATAATTATATAGCATGTCTACAGGCAACAACAACAGGTTAAAAAAGGAAAAAGAAGAGGAAGGCGAGCTAAACACTCTCTTTGGTTTCTGGGCTGGTGTCCTCAGTCACTGCCAGGAAAAAGTTTATATCAAAATAAGTGGGGAAAGGATTTATGCACTTCCTGGAGCTCAGCCTGGGAGGGTGTGGGGGACAGACAAGGCTCTCCAAGGCCTCCACGCTCACATATTGTTTGCCCTAAATGGATCCACCAAAATTACTTGAGTTTGGGGCCCCATTAAAGAACAAACAAACAAACAACAGGGCTAAAGGATCATTCTTCCTGAGACTTGGAGATTTCCAAGGTAGACTGTATTAGTGCTGCCACTTGTATCAAAGAGAATGCACTTCAGAGTCAAGCCCCTGCCTGGAATTACAGCCACTCCCAGACTCCTGATGAATGCCCAAGGGACAGCCAAAGCCAGCACCTTGTTTGTCTTTTAGACAACATACAATAGTCTTCCTAACCCCTGCTAGGACCCAGAGGCTCAGGCTCCAGTTTAGATGGGCTCAGGCTCAGCTCTCCGGCCTCCTAGCCAGGCCCAGGGGACCTGGCCCACACCACCACTGAGGTTCTTCCAGCTCAGGGGTTCTTAGACGTGCATCTGAACGGCTTGGAGAGTGATGGACACAGAATACTGGGGTCCCCCCTCCCCAAGGTTCTGTGGGTTGGAGTAGGCTAGAAATGAGTTTGCATAGCCAACAAGTTCTCAGGCGGTGCCTGCTGGTCTAGGCACTGTACTCAAGAGCCACTCTTCTTGCAAAGAAGAGATAAAAGCTTAAAGTCATGGAACCCAGCCATGCCTGTGTCCTGTCCATCTGCCTGTGAGGCCACCTCCAGGGGCCCAAAGCTGTCACTTGTCAGCAGCTGTTGATGAGGTGGTGAGTAGGACTGAAAAATATGGTAGATGTTTAAACTTTAAAAAAATTATTATAGTAAGAGACCAGTTGCAATTCATCTCCCTCACTTATCCCATCATTTTTGCCACTTTCTGAAGCAGTTCTGGAAGTTCTCTTAATGGGTGTCTTGAATCAGTGTCCTGAATCAGTTCAAAACCTTTACTTCTCATGGCCCTTTTGACTTTGGGGAGTTGCACAGCAGCTGATCCAGTAAACTAGGTGGAGGAGGACGCACAGTATGCTTTACAGGCCTTGGATGGCGTTCAGTAGCAGCGTTCCATATATTTGTGAGCACATCTTGTAAAGACACAATGAAAGAAGACTTCAGAGCTGCTTCAGAAAGTGACAGGAATGAGGAGATAAATGTGTTCCGAGTGAGGGGAGAATTTTAAGGCGGACTAATGACAATGTGTCTTTTACTGTAATAAGTATTTCTTTCACTATTCCCCGTATATTTTGGTCACGCTCCTAAGCGTCTTTCCCCCAAGATGTGAAAGCTGTTCTTCAGTGTTCCGTAATTTAATGGTGGAGCCCCACACAGGTGGGTTAGGAGTTGGTAGAAGAAGCAGAGGCCACTGCAGAATGGCCTCCAGTTGTGGGTTTCACCCCCTAGTCCTTTCTGCTGCTGCCTCTCAAGGTAAGAAGAAGCATGGCAGGAGGAGAAGGCTCCAGGACTAGAGCAGGGAGCAGGGCAACCTCTCTGAGCTCTACAGGTCCAAGCCTGGAAAACACCTTTGAGTGCCAAGAGTCAGGCTCCTGGGGATGCCCCAGCCCACGCTCTGTGACTAAACTGGTGGGGACAATGGAGGGAGGGGCCAGCAGGAAGCCTTCCAAGCAGGCACAGAGGGAACTTCCAAGAGATCTGTCCTCCCTCCGGGAGCCCCTCGGTCTTTCCAGGCTGGGGAGAGCCCTGGCGGCCCCACCCGGGAAGGATCCGTACCACATCCCCCACACGGGGAAACCCAGCCCCTGCCTGAGAACTGAGGGAGCTGCCTGATGTCCCTCCCCTTGCTTTCTGTCCTTCCTGCCACTTGCCCCCACAGATAGGACACCCCCACACCATCACAGGACAGTCCTGATTTTAAATACTCTTTGCTACATGTGGCTGACCTTGCATTCAAGCTCCAAGTCAGAAAATGTGTCACATCCAGTATCTGATTTGATAACTGCTTTCTCTCCTTTCCATTCTTATTCACTGGTGTCTAATAAAAGTTCCTAACAGCGTGTTGAGAACCTTGTCACCATGTGAAAATCCTCTTCCTTAGCACTGCTAAGTGCTCGAGACACAGTTAGGAACTGACGTTTGAAACACACTGATCACAAGTCCTAGATGTTCTACACCCCACCACTCTGGGACACCAAGGCAGGGAGATCCTGAGTTCAAGCCCAGCCTGGGCAATTGACAAATGAGAAAAGACGGTTCTCAGAATATAGTAAAAACTGCTAGGGGTGTAGCGCGGTGTGTAGACACTGAGTTCAATCAACCAGTCAGTCAATTAGCAGAATCCTTCACGTTCCTAGTGTATGAATCTCCAGGCTTTCTGAGAGCCCTCCCCACACTGTACTGTGAGCCCCAGTCAGGCCGGTGTCAAACTGCCCAAGGTCACTCCCGTCAGCTTAGACTCCGACGCAGTGGTCTCTGTCCTTGTCTCTGATTCATCGTCTGCCCTCCTCTATCCCCATAACTGATCCATGCGGTCACCCTGTAATATCTCTATGGCATAAGCATTGTTTTCTTTTTTGTTGTTGTTGTTGTTGTTTTAGCAAGGCATGTTGGTACATGCGTAACTCCAGCTACTTGGGAGGCTGAAGCAGAAGGATCACAAGTTCAAGCCCGGGCCCTCAGTAAGCCCTTATCCCAAAATAAAAGATAAGTGCAGGGGATATAGCTCAGTGGTAGAAGACTTGCCTAACACATGCAAGGGCTTAGGCCTCTATTTCCACACCTTAAAAAAGGTTTTTTTAAAGCTCAGGCAGGAGAATCATTTGCAAATTTGAGACCAGCCTGAGCTACAGAGTGAGCCCAAGGCCAATATGAACTGCATAGTGAGACCCTCAAAAAGACAAAAAGAAAAAAAAATTTAAACATTTGTTCTAGCTCCCAAGCTATGCTAGGTACTGCCGATGGCGTTTTAAAAGTTCAGACCTCTCTCTGCAAAGTTTCCATCCTGTTTATTAACGCAAAACAGAGAAAAATTATCTCTATGCTATTAGTAACTGTGAAGGCAATTTCCTATTTAAGAGCGTGTAATTATCAGGGAATCCTATTCATGGTGTCTGAGACCTCAGCTGGTACAGAAATGAAGAAATGTCACTGATGCCTATTGAAGAAGTCCATGCTATCTAGTGTCCTGAGCCGGGGACTTGCTTTCCAAAAAGTCATAGAGAAATTGAGCCGAGGCCGGCACCGTGCAGGTGCTTGTGGAGACCCCTAGGAGGGGTCTCCCATCCATCCCATCAGAGCTGCAGGTTGTATTGGGATCAATTGTTTGTGCGTGGCTGCCACCACTGGAGAGGGAGGAAGCTGGGACGGTTTACCTGCTGTGTTCTATAAAACCTGATACACCTCTGCGTTTAGAGACTCCTGCCCCTTGCGTCTGGGCACACACTTCCGTTCACAGATACGACTTCACACCATTTCGTTAAGATGTTTCTAGGATTATTTTTTTAAAGGACCTCAAAATCCTTTTTTGTGGGATCTTCAAAGTGTGTATTCCTCCCTCCCGTTGTTATTGCTTGAAATCCCAGGAAAGATTGAGGAAGAGGGAGGAAATAACAAAATGAAAACTACCCACCCTCATCTGTCTCTGTCGCCGATGAGCCTGGCTCTAGCTTATCTGCAAGCGGGAAGTCTGAGGTCTGCTTAAGCCCCTTCCAGGGGTCTGCATGGCAGAACCACTGCACTTCAGTGCCAGTGCAAGGGTCGGGGGAGACCTTTGCTCTCAAGATTTTTAAATAAAATGCACAGCACCCCCTAGGAAGTACCAGTGCTCTGCAGAGCAGGATGGCTTGTTGCATTCACCACTCAAACAAAATGTAACTAGCAGGAAGGATGGGGTGGCTGTGAGCTTCTTGAATGGAAATGCAGGGACACCAAACAAAGCAACCCGGTGCATGGAATTGTGAGGGCAAAACAAAGCAACACGTCCTGTGCCTGAGGAGGGCTTGGCTGTGTGCTCCATGAGGGGCAGTTGAGTCATCCTCAGTGTGACCCACAGGACGATGAAGAGTGTGGCTGTGGATCTTTGATTTAAACACAGTAAAAATACAAACCCGCATCCACTTCTGTTCTGGGGAAAAACACATCACGCTCTGCGGGCCCAGCCTCGCCTGGGTCCCGTCCACGCCGATTTACGCAACTGCTCCCACATTCCCATACCCTGCTGCCAGCACTTCCTCCCATTGTGGAGGTTTATTAATAACTAACGTAACAATGCGGTGCTGGCTGTCTGACACCGCTGGGCACAGAGAGCTGATCTGATGGGCGCCTGCCAGCTCTGGATCCAGTTGCAGCCAGCTCTGCCCATCCTGGTGTAAATCACACAGTGTTTTTGTTTCATTCTGCTATTGTCTGCATCCTTTCTCCTTGTTTTTGCCCCTACTGTGTCTCCTTCC